ATCGATAGACATCACATCTATGATTGTAAGCTGCAATATAACAAAGGTTTGCTTTCAGGTTTAAGCCTGCGATCACACGGAATAGGACTTTGAAATCGTCCAACTTCGCTTGAAGTCTCTTGATTTCAAAGTCGGACGTCAGTGAGACTTGACAGACATCTGTGTGACTTCATGTACAAGCAGGGGTGGACTGACCATTTGGAAACTTGGGCACTGCCCAGGTCAGTAGGGGGCCCCATGAGATGCCCCTGGTACCTTTTTCATAGGCTTTTTTGCGTTTGGGCAAGGACACAGGGGCCCCATGATCCCCTATTGCCCGGGGGCCCCCCATGAGTTGTCAGTACGCCTCTATGTACAAGTGTCTATACATGTCGCATTCAAAAGGGGCAAAAGTAGCGTAGGAACAAATCAGTGCGACTGACGAAGTTGCACCGATTAGGAGGGTTCCATTTCCGATCATTGTGTGCGAATTGTCATGTGTGATTCGAAATGGCATTGGTGTGAGCGGGGGCTTATACCGCTTTACATCTGAACTCCGGGATCAGAAAATATTGTCTAAATCAGGGATGAGCATCTGTGGCCCTCCAGTTATTGTGGAACTAAATATCCTATGAGGCATTGTAAGACTTACAGATACAAGCATGACTCCTGGAGGTAGGTGCACAATGGTGAGACTGAGTTACTTCCTGATGCATGATGGGAATTGTAGTTCCGCAATAGCTGGAGGCCTCCAGTTCCCCATCCCTAGTCTGAATCGATTCATGAAGTGTGTTCTTGATGGGCTTTGTCTATTTCTTCCTGATCTGTACAGTATTTCAGTGTCACACTGTAGCTGGACATACATCATACAATTTTCTTTAATTTCCTTTAGATTTACCATCAACTATGCAGTGCTAGGGTCTGACCGATTTCATCATTATTATAATACAGGATTTATATTATTATTATTATTATAATACAGGATTTATATTATTATTATTATTATAATACAGGATTTTTATTATTATTATTATAATACAGGATTTACATTATTTACAGGATTTATATTAATACAGGATTTACATTATTCTACAGGATTTATATTATTCTACAGGATTTATATTATTCTACAGGATTTATATTGTTTATTATAATACAGGATTTATATAATACAGGATTTATATTATTCTACAAGATTTATATTATATTATTATACAGGATTTATATAGCGCCAACAGCTCTTTACAATATAATGGGAGACAATACAGCAACAATACAAGAGGATTAGGAGGGCCCTGATCCTGGGAACTTACAATCTAACAAAAACAAAAAAAGTGTTTACATTTGATCTCATATTATATGATTTTAGTAAATCTAAAGAAATAAAATTGGATAATGTATGGCCAACCTTCATCACCAGGAGCTTCCTGTAATACAGATTGGTCACAGCTGCTCTCTGTGTAGGGTGACTGGTTTTATCTCCGCCCCTTATGTAGTTTTTTTTTTTTTTTTGCAGACAGCCTCTAGTGGGTGGAGCCTGAGGGTCCCCTCCCAGGCTATCACTGTATTTACAAGGTAATATCTGGCCTGGAAAAGGAATTGGGAGGATTTGTAGACCTTGCAGGTATTTGGATGACAGTTTTTTTCCACCCAGAGTTCAGCTTTAGGCTACTTTCACACTGATCTGACGCAAAAAAAAAAAAAAAAAAAAATCACATAGGTTGTTTTACTGCACTTTTTCAGCACTGAGCGTTTTAAAAGGGCATGCAACTTAAAAACTTCACCCAAAAATGCTTCTCAGAGGAGTTTTTGGAGGTTTTTTCAGGCACTTTCCATTGATTTCAATGGAAGGGGAGTTTTTATTTTTTAACTCACCAAAAATGCCCCAAAGATGCTGCACCGCACACACACGTGAAAAAAATACATAGGGAAGCGTTTTTCTTGAGCTTTTCTTTTAAACACAAAATGCTTCAAAGCTGCTCTTTGTGTAAGCAGCCTAAGGCCCCGTTCACACGGGCATTCCTTTTTTTTGATCAGTTCAGTCACATTAATAAAACAAAAAAAAAAAAAAATGGATCAGTTTTCTCATGAGTTCACATCCGTTAACATCCATTCTGTTTTTTTTTTTTCAAATGGAAGGAAAAAAAAAAAAAAAGGGGTTTCCTTACGCCCAAAAAAAAAATAAAAATATGTTAACGGATACAAACATTAACAGATGTAAACAAATAATCATCCGTTTACGTCCACTAGTCCATAGAAATACATGGGTGTCCGTTGGTCATCCATAAACGAACAGACATACGGAGCGCCCGTGTGAATGGGGTCTGAATATATAACACTCTCTATGTAAACCTATTCCTGCGACAATCACATCTATACAGATTTTTTTGCTGCACCAACGGCCATAGACGTGTCATTGGGACACCCATCCATCAGATATGTCCTGTGAAAAACAAGGATGGTGAAGTTAGTCAGTCTAACAAAGCCCCAAGCATTCATGGTGAAATGTCACCAGCATGCCATGATGTAACCTCAGCACACAGCCCTCACGGGAGGGGGGGGGGGGCTGGGGCCCTGCACACTGTATGAAGCCGCATGTAACAGGCAGGGACGGCCCGGCGTGTGTGTGACCTCTCTGGTGTCAGTTGAGGGGGGGGGGGGAGACTTACCTATCGGTACAACTTCTACTGAGCTTCCTCCCTACACCGCCGGCCTCTCTGTTCGTCACACTACCGCTCGGGGAGGCGAACAGCCGCAGATTACATGCGCCAGGCTGCCACTCTCCCCATCTCTTCCGGTCTCAGCACAAGCTTCGGGTCGACGCTCGGTATTTAAGTCTGCGCATGCGTCTGCGCCCGAGGGCAACTGCGCAAGCGCACCATGGGCCGCGCTGCACTCTGGGTTGGTTGGCAAGCCCGGGCCGTCGCGTAGCCGCGGTGGCGTCACGCGGCGCGGTTGCTCTGACGACTCCCAGGGCCCAATCAGCGTCGGCCGTGGTGGGAATTAAAGGGCGGTGCGTCGTGACGTCAAAATAGAGCGTCGTGCGGCGAGAGGTCGCGCGGTGCTTGTCAATTCGGTAACTTGGAGGCTGACGGTTGTAACTGTCTAATTGTACACTAGAAATCAACGGAGGCTCAACGCCGCCGGTTTATCAGGGGGATATGGAAAATAATGCTTTCTTTTACTTGATTGGCTAGCTGCTAAGATAAGCCAGCGCCTGATTGGTTAGCCCAGCTGTCAGAGCTGAAACAGGCCTTGTTTGACGTGAAGGGCGCCGAGGTCTTGCGCTTTTGCGTTTTTATTGGCTGAGGAGGAGTGATCGGCGTGGGAGATCGCCAATGAGAGAGAGAAGACTGTTTCAAGCGTGAAGTGCGAGTCGAGAAGAGCAGAGGGAATGTTGTTTTCCTCAATGCGAAACTGCTGAGGGGAGGGGGAAAGAGAGACAGAGCCCCGGATGTAACATGAGATCATCGCCGGCCAATAAGCGGGAAGGGTGACGTCATCGCCCTTACCAAAACATCTTGCCCGGCCCGCCTCTCATAACTGAAGAGAGGCGTGGCTAGGCATAGGTTACAGGGGGAGATGTTTATCCAAGAGGAGGGGAAAGAGGTGTTACCATGGTGACAGGGTTCAGGCCTAATGCTCACAGAATATAGACTCCATTCACAAAACTTTATTGTAAACCTCAGCTGGACAACATTTAGTGTGCTAAAGCACTGTCCTAACGAAGAAGTATCCCAAACACTTTCCTTTGTTTCATATAAAACTTGTTTTCATCTGATTTTTACATCCTAGTCTTGTAGCTACTGAGCTCCCGGAGCTTCTTTGCAGCCATTTCCTGTCTACATGCACTCCAAGGGTTGCTGTGTGGCATTTCTCAGGGCGGGTTTCCTGCTGGTGACAACAGCGGCTCATGCCTGTATTGTGTCTGGAAACCACCACCTGTAGTCTCCAACAGAAGCTGTGGAACAAGGTGACAACACAGGAGCACCATTGAGGGATGGGGCAGAGTGTTGTCACCCTGAAACAGGAAGTGTCTGAACAAGGACTTGTATGGCAGGATCAGCAGATATTATTTTAATGAAAGCTGCAGATATTAAAGTATAACTAGATATTTTTTTTTGTTTTGGACATAATGGGGAGGGATTAGAAGCCCTGTCAGGTTTTCATTGCTGTCTGTGCCCCGTTAGGGAGATTCACCCTTTCTATATGTCTCTATATAAAACAGAATAGGGCAAGTGAGCGCTGAAAGTCTAAAAGCTGCTGATACACCAAAGGATACCAAATAACCTCCGAAACATCAATGTAAAATAAGGTGCAGCGCTAGAACTCCAACCATAAATGTGAAAACTCCATACGTTAAATATATCAATCATCATATAAATAAATAAAGTGACTTGTAACAAGGTGCCAAATAAATCATTCAAATTAAAGTGACTCAGTGGTAAAGTGAAGTCCGTCACTGTATAGTGACCAATGGTGCTTTAAAGTGTTGAAATATTGTCCAAATATAAATGTATGGAAGATCTGATAATCTTCAATAATAGGTGTTTCATCCGGTATTGTGGTGATGTGACCAATGGTATAAAGACTGCGCAATCAATGAGCGCATTTAGAGACAATACTCTCAGTGGATGAACTGGAAGCCCCTTTAACCACTTGCCTACAGGGCACTTATACCCCTTTCCTGACAAGGCCAATTTCCGGCTTTCAGCGATGTCGCACTTTGAATGACAATTGCGCGGTTATGCAACACTGTACCCATATGAAATTTTTATCATTTTTTTTGTGACAGATATAGCTTTATTTTGGTGGTATTTAATCACCTCTGGGTTTTTCATTTTTTCTTAAACAAACCAAAAACCACTAAAAATGTTGAAAAAAAAAAGTTTTGTTCTTAGTTTTTGTTATAAAAGTTTGTAAATAAGTGATTTTTCTCCTTCACTGATATGCGCTAATGAGGCTGCACTGATGAACACTGATAGTTGGCACTGATGAGGAGGCACTGGTAGGTGGCACTGATGGGCATTGACAGGCATCACTGATGGGCACTGAAAGGCAGCACTGATACATGGCACTGATAGGCAGCACTGACTGGCACTGATAGGTGGCACTGACTGGCACTGATGGGTGACACTGAAAGGCAGCTCAGATGGGCACTGATATGTGGCACTGATGGGCACTGACACAAGGCACTGATGGACACTGACAGGTGGCGCTGCTGGGGCTACACTGATCATCAGGGCACACTAATCATCAGTGCCCTGATGATCATTGTACATGTCCCCTCCGCGGAAAGCCGATTACCGGCTCTCCTCTCCTCTCGAGCTGTCAGCGTGACAGCTCGAGAAGAGAGAAATGCCGATAACCGGCATTTCCCTATTTACATGTGATCATCTGTGATTGGACACAGCTGATCACATGACCGAGCCGACATCCTCGGCTCTTTCCGTGATTGGTGATCCGCTGTGTCCGAGGGACACAGCGACCGCTGATCGCCGTGCTGCGTGCTCCCTGAGCTGTGCATGCGCGGTGAGAATGGGAGGATTTGTGCTTAAAGTTGAAAGCACACACAGCACATAATGTGAAACAGCACACAGATAACCCTTTGATCACCCCACATGTTAACCCCTTCCTGCCCAGTGCCTTTAGTATAGTGTCAGTGTTTTTTTTATTAGCCTTGATCACTGTATTGGTGTCACTGGGGATGTCAGTGACACCAAGTCAGTTCCCCCCAGTGTTAGAATGCCCGCTGCAGTCCCTCAGTCCCACTATAAATCACTGATAGCCGTCATTATTAGTAAAAAAAAAAAATTACAGTATATATACCGCCATTTGTAAACGCTATAACTTTCACATAAACCAATTAATTTACACGTATTGGGATTTTTTTTAGCAAAGACATGAAGCAGAATACATTTTGGCCAAAATTTATAACAAAATTTGATTTTTAAATTTTTTTACTCGACATGTTTAATAGCAAGAAGTCAAAAATATAGTTTTTTACTCAAAATTCTAGGTCTTTTTTTGTTATAGTGCAAAAAATAAAAAATACACAGGCGATCAAATACCACCGAAATAAAACTCTATTTATGGGGAAAAAAAGGACATACATTTCATTTGGGTGCAGTGTTGCATGACTGCGCAATTGTTAGTTACAATAACGCAGCACCGTAACGCAAAAAATAGCCTGGTCAGGAGGGGGGGGGGGGTAAATCCTCTGGAGGGCAAATGGTTAAGGGCACAGGATTCAGTTACTAGGAAACAACTGGGAAGTCCCAATGCAGTCCAAATGAAGGATGGGCAACAGTGACCAAACATTAACAGGGACAACACAACTAAATAAATAAATAATAAAACTGCATGCAATGCAAAGAGCTGTCTGAAGGAACTTACACCCAAAGATGGCATTAGGTGCATCCTGAACATCAACCTAATACAACTTAGAAACTGCATGAATAGAAGACCAGGTCTTTTTTTTTATAGTGCAGAAAATAAAAAATGCACAGGTGATCAAATACCACCAAAAGAAAGCTCTATTTATGTGAAAAAAGGGACATAAATTTCATATGGGTGCTGCATTGCATGACCGCGCAATTGTCAGTTAAAGTGACGTAGCGCTGTAACGCAAAAAATGGCCTGGTTAGGAAAGGGGGGGGGTAAATCCTCTGGAGGGCAAGTGGTTAAAGTAGCGCAGTTGGCCTGGTCATGAAGTGCGTAAAATCTTCCGGAGCCCAAGTGGTTAAAGTAATGTTCTAACAGATTTTAATATGTGCAAAAAAATAAATAATTTGAAAAAATTGCCCAATCGAGAAAAGTCTTCTTTTAATAGGTATCAAGTGTGTAACCTGACCTGAACTGAAAAGTCTAAGCACATGGCTGAAGAAAGGATCTTCCGAGTTGCCATAATACATTTTCTGTTATGTGTTGCTATACCTTTACAGGAGAAGTCAGTAGCCCAGTTGTCACTGTTCACTCTCCTGTAAAACTAGAGTTGCCCACGTCATGACACATAAGCCCACAATGAGTTTATTGTCACATCTTGTTCCACCCTTTGCCACTGTACAGTTGTCCTGGTAATAACAACATTACAACCCTTTATTGGATTTCCTATTTTCGGCCCATCTGCTAGTCCATGGATACTGTCAGTTAATGATGCTTAACGAGAAGCTGGTTAACGTATTCCCATCCTAAGCATCTACATTTCAGTAAGGTTAAGCTGCAGTACGTAAGCAGTGACAATACTAATGGACCTTAATTTGTTATCTGAAGCTAAATCCCCGATTTGTGGCACGGGCGAGGAGACTGTTTACTTGTGCGCTTGATTAAAACTGTTATTAACATATCAATCAGATTTAAAGCACATGGACCCTTAGCAGATTTGGAGCCTTTTAAAAGATAGATCTGTCTTTTACAATTAAACAAATCCAATACAGTATTATTATCTGCAGAATGGCATTAGAAAATTATGTAGAGAATTTGCCAATGGATAGGTTGTAGGATCTACATGCAGTTGTTATCACAATTTACAGTCCCACAGACAACTTTGGTAGGTCTGTGATAGAATCAGGTCATACGTGGGCGCTATATCTAGACACTATAGATGCAGTACTGTACTGTGCAAATGAGTTGGGACAAGCTTGCAAGCACTATTTCAAGACTCTTATTGGGCCTATGAATGTTGATACTTGCTGCAGATTGATTTCTGCATAACTAGAAGGTGCTGTCCTGTTTTTCACTCTTTTACTTCAGTCTGAATTTATATTTTTCGCAGTGAGGGTGTGATTGAAGTTGGTCCACTATATTCATTATTATCTTGTTATTTGTATACGGATGTAGATGGCCATCACTCCCTGAAAGCGATAGAAAATAATTTACAAATATATGTTGCGCTCCTAAATACTCCTCAATAAATAATAATTAAATTATTACCATTAAAATAATTCAAATTATTGACCTATCACAACCCCCTGATGAAGCCACGTGATTGGAGGCGTAACGCGTAGGGGAGGGGCTACGTCATCACTCGGAGAGGAGCTGGACAACACGATAGACGGCAGGTGTATGACTCAGAGGCCAGCAGAGGACTTCCAATGGGATATTGCGTTATTTAAACCTGTCTAATGTGAGTTTAATACTTAGATGGTGGGAATAAAAAGTTTTAAAAGGTAAAGCACTATGTCCTCTATTTCTTCCTGCATGCGGAGTAACACAAGGAGAGGATAATTAGGAGGTCTGAGCTAACAAAAGGAGTGTGTAATCCCTGAGGGGATAATCAGCCACCAGAGGATACATCCATTACTCCTAAAGGAAGGATCTCCCAATTTTACCAGCAAAAGTATATGTCCAGCAGGTTCCAGGGAAAGTGAACCGAAAGCGTGTATAGCCTAATTGCAGGCATCAAAGGAGGTGAGCGCACATCATCTTCACTATTTGAAGGATTCACAAAAGTCACAAATTGAAGAACAACAAGCACCAAGTCACTATATATAAACAATTGTTTATTCAATGGGACTATTATTTTGATGATATTTGGATTCATACTAATCACTACTAATTATTTATGAGCATTTGGTTATTTTTATTTATGGGGGATCATTTAAATGCGTTTTAGTTGAGGTTTATTAGTTGGTTTATTATCTTTATTATATTAAATGAGGGTATTATGAATATAAATGAAATTGAGGGTATTAGTAAGTACATCATGTCATTAATAGATGATTTATGAGCACTTGGTAAAATATTTTTTTAGAGGAGTATTTCATGTGGAATTATTTTGATATTTATTTGGAGGAGATTGATTAGTTGAAATTATCTATTTAAATATTCTTTGGTATGTATACACTTTTATTAGTTATTTGTATCATAATTTGAATTAATTTAATGGTAATAATTTAATTATTATTTATTGAGAAGTATTTAGGAGCGCAACATATATTTGTAGATATTTCCAACACAATTGTAGTTATGTGTTTCATGTTTGCGATCCTCTAGTAATTATCACACCTGTGGCTCGCAAGTCACTCTGATTCACCTATACCTGATAGAAAATAATTGCTTTGTGGACAAATACTGAGTTAACAGTTCAGGAGATAGTAAACTCAGTTGGTGTAGACCTGTATCAAGAGTCAGGGTCTGTAGACACTTCTCAGAAAGGACGTTGGGGAAGAAAAAGAAAGACTATGCTGATAGTGATTGAAGTTGGTCCACTATATTCATTATTATCTTGTTATTTGTATGCGGATGTAGATGGCCATCACTCCCTGAAAGCGATAGAAAATAATTGCTTTGTGGACAAATACTGAATTAACAGTTCAGGAGATAGCCAATGCAGTCGGTGTAGACCTGTATCAACAGACAGGGTCTGTAGACACTTCTCGGAAAGGACGTTGTGGAAGAAAAAAAAAGACTATGCTAATAGTCATTGAAGTTGGTTCACTGTATTCATTATTATCTTGTTATTTGTATACGGATGTAGATGGACATCACTCCCTGATAGCGATAGAAAATAATTGCTTTGTGGACAAATACTGAATTAACAGTTCAGGAGATAGCAAACTCAGTTGGTGTAGACCTGTATCAAGAGTCAGGGTCTGTAGACACTCCTCAGAAAGGACGTTGGGGGAAGAAAAAGAAAGAGTATACTAATAGTGATTGAAGTTGGTCCACTATATTCATTATTATCTTGTTATTTGTATACGGATGTAGATGGACATCACTCCCTGAAAGCGATAGAAAATAATTGCTTTGTGGACAAATACTGAATTACCAGTTCAGGAGATAGCAAATGCAGTTGGTGTAGACCTGTATCAACAGACAGGGTCTGTAGACACGTCTCGGAAAGGACGTTGTGGAAGAAAAAGAAAGACTATGCTGAGGGACAATGGTCTACATAGCATCATAAAGCCAAAGAAGACCAGTGGGGATATCAAAAGGAAGCTTGCAGCTCGTGGCGTTAATATGAATGCTTCCACTGTGCCCCGCTGACTCCTCCAGTGTGGTTGCAGAGCTGGCGCCCAGTTAGGAAGTAGCTCTTGACACCCTTTATGACGAAGAAGCAGTTGTTGTTGGCAAAGAAGTATAGAGACTGGACTTTGGAGAAATGAAAAAGAAAGTAATATTCTCAGACGAGACACAGTTTTAATGTTCATGGATACAGGTCAAACTTTGTTCTTCTCTCACCTGGAAAACCTGGAGAAGACATGATGGACAGTAATAAGTATATAGGTGTTCAGATAGCAACACTGACCCCGATACTAAAGAGGCGGTTTACTGATGGAGACAGAGTGTTCCAGCAAGACCTAGCTCCTGCCACAATTCCAAGTTACCGAAGGACTTTTTTTCCCCCAAAAAAATAAAAGTATTGGAATGGCCAGAAAATTCACCAGACGTAAACCCATTAAAAAACCTGTGGGCCATTCTGAAGGTTCTCATAAGAAAGATGGATTCTCGCTAAGAAAGATGGATTGTACAACAAAATTAAAATGATAGAAACTGTTCTCCAAGTGATGTTTAGGGACCCTGGAGTGAAGGATTTGTGTGAAAAATGAGTGACATCAATGCCTAAGAGAGTAAGGGGGGGGGGGGGGTAATTCAAACTAAGGGAGGCCATATCAATTACTG